CACAAGGACCGTTAACCCTACACTTTAATCTTAACGTAGTTGAGTCCTAGGATGATATTACTGGTTGCCCTATGCTACATTAGTGGGGACCAATTTGTTATGCCTGAGGGGACCTAAAAGCAGTTTAACAATGTGCCGATTTGGACATAGTGTTGGGACTAACCTGTGTGGATGATATGTAGTATTTTGGGAAGTTATTTGGAAGAAGAAGTAGAAGTCATCCCAAGTGCATAACACCCTCCCGTGACCGGCTCATCAACTATCATTCCCGAATGAGGGTGCCATTGGGTATTGGGAATGAATGTACTATATGGATTTGGGAAGAGTGTCTATTGGGTGTATGGAATGAGTGTCTATTGAATTTGGGATAAGTGTCTATTGGTAATTGTGGGATGAGGTGTCTTAGGGATTTGGCAGTATGATGGGATGTAGTATCTATGGTATGCGAGTTGTTGTATGATGGTATGAGCGGTGTCTGACTAATGATATTGGGGTTGTGTTGAGTGTATCAAAGTAATTATGCATGTTTTGATATGATTTGTTTTGCAGTTTAGCTCACCCCTACCTTGTTTGTGTTTTTGTGTATGTGCAATGATCCGTATAATTTTTATACGGGAGCAGATTGAAGGAATGGTCGTCTGATTCGAGTGCCAATGAAGAAAGAGATAGAAGACTAACCTCAGAAGAATTCGAGTTATATGTATGAGTTGTAGTTGAAATCTGGTTTAAAACATTACTACTAATATATTATATATCTCTATATATATATATATAGATATATAGGGGGGTTTGCTAACGCGGCGGACGCCCTGTTTGTTCAGTTGGTCATGGTTTAGCAATGTGTACGGATTTTAGTAGACAAAAATACCCTGTAATATAGTCAGTGGAGGTCTAAGTTTTAAGGTTAAAGGATGTATAATTGTTACTCTCCCAAAACCGCAATCAAAACTAAAAAAAAAAAAAAAACCCCAAACCCGTCCGTCACCCGCTCATTCCGTCATCATCTTTCTCTTTCATCTCTGACTCACTTCAACCGTTTTCTCTGTCATTCCTACAGAGCTCCATTGAAAAAATCGAAAACATGTTGTCTTTAAACAATTTGCCTTTGTAAAGAGTTGAGTCATTCGGACATTATTCACCTTCAGGCAATAGTTCATCAAGATCTCTTCAGATTTCACCATCTTCACTAACCTTTCTAATTTCATCACCTGCATATGTGAAGCAACATCTCTAAAAAAAAACCCTCCAGGCCAATTATCAATTTTTTTGGATGTCATTTTAGCTGTGAAAATTAGATAAATTAGAATAAAGAACAAAAAGTTATAAAATAAAAACTCATTATACAAATCAGTTTTGTAAGAACAATTGTTCTTAACCGCGAAGGTATTTTGATTTTTCCAAGGTCAATTACCAATTCCGTTTTATGCCTTGTGTGAAAATTGGATAAAATTTATAGAAGATAAACAATACTAAGATAAAACTCATTTATTAAAAATCATTTTTTTGTAAACGTTGTGTAACGGCAAGGTTTTTGATTTTTTCATTGGAGCTACATTAGGATGTTACAGAGAAAAGATTGGAGTGAGAAAAATAAAGAGAAAGGGTTGAGAGGAATGATAGGAGGTTGAGTAACGGGTTTGGGGGGTTTCTTTATTTTTTCATTGTGAGAAGAAAACTATTAAAATCATTAACTTTAAAACTTAGAATCCATTATATATTAGGATATTTTTGTCTACTAAATCCAAACTTGCTAAAATGTACCCACTGAAAAACCAGGCGTGACGCACGTGTAGCAAACCCCATATATTA